TGCCAATTGAGATGCCAAAGCCAGTGGTTTCTTATCATCAGAGAGGTCTTCAAGGAGGGGTAGCAGTTGCTCCATCAGGTGTTGTTGATATGCCCCCATGCATGCGACGTAGTTGGTAATTTTCATGTCAAGTACTGCAGAAGCGTAACACTTTTTTGCCAGGCCATCAACTTTCTTGCTGTCCCGAAGCAAAGGGAGTTTGTGCGCCTTCCACAATGTCAGAATTCAGCTTTGGGTGCTGGAAAAGTCACATAGCTTGAGATGGAGCTATTCTATAAATATTTTCTATTTTCCTTGAAGTAGAAGGAACTGAGGCTGGAGCGACCCATGAGCGCTCAGCAATATTTTGTAGAGACAGGAGAAAGCCCAATGCAGGTGGAGTAGAGACCTTCCCACGCACACGCCTCTCAACAGCATCTGTTGCGTCCTTATTGGTCCTGACAATTTTGATCTCAAGTGCATTGCCCATATGGAGTATCTGTTGTGTAAAAGATCTAACATCATCTGTGGCCGAAGCAGGTAAGTGGTCAGTCAGAGCGCCAGAGTCCTGAACTGAAACCAGAGACACTGAGCATGAAGAAGAATAGCGTTGAGATTGGTGAGATGGAGGAGTGCAAGATTGGGAATGTGATGCCCTTGAACAAGACCTTGATGTTCGTCGGCAAGATGGTGGAGAAGTAGGACAGGACCTTTCTTGGAGACCTAAAGCGATGCGGCTGGAGTTGAGTTCAAGCCTGATGTGATGGTTCCTCATATGGAGGAAGAGTGTCTGGATTGACCAGAAGTAGGAAGCGGCGCGTGACAGTATCGTATACCATGTCTGGATGCGCCTTTAACACGCGGTCTGCCTCAGCATCCACCTCGGAATCGTCAGCCTCACTGATCTCTCCTTCCGATTCCGAATCCAGCACCACCCAGTGCTCTTGAAGGTGTGGTAAGGACCTCTTGTTAGAGGCTTCTCGGTCCCGAAACCTCGGTATCGAGGAAGATGGGCCCGGAGCTGGTGAAACAGGAGGTTCCGAGATGGGTGGAGATCTGGACATAGACACAGGACATGAGTCCACCGACTTGAGGCCTTCTGAAGTATGTGACTTCTTCGGGGCCGGCTCCTTGGATCTATCTCGATCATCAATTTGGTGTCGCTTAGAGGTCTTTTTACCTTTGTGTACTTCAGGGGAATGACCCTGTGACAGAGCCTTTGCAGATCTTCCAAGGCTCTTTTCTCTATCTCCATCAGATTTGGAGGACTTTTTCCTGGGGCTGGTCTTAGCGCATCCGTGGCCTTTAACAGCAGAAACTCCCAGAGTTGGGGTTGAAGCAGGTCTTGAGCCTCTTATCTCTGTTCCTTAAAGCCTGCGATGTCATAGATCTACACAGTGAGCAGGATTGAGTATTATGAGCCTCTCCCAAACAGAGCAAACAAAGGGAGTGAGGATCGGAACTAGGGATCTTATTGATGCAACGCTCACATTGCTTGAAAGATCGAGCCGACATGATGAATCTGAAAAAGTGATCCGAGACGAAGTCAAACAATCCAAGTCGAGTAACCGCTACCGAACAACCAAGAGGATTAGATGAAGGATAGTCAATGAACAAGCCGAAGTCAGAAAAACCGTTAACTCTTAGAATAAGCGATTGGAAATAGCCAGAAGCTCCTTCGAAGCTGCTAATGCAGCGGACGAAAGCTACCGCCAAAAAGTAACAACTAAAGTTCTGCCTAGCGATTCCAGAAGTTTCCGAAGTTGCTGCGCATGCGCAGATTAAAACCCATTTGTGTGATTTGCAGAGACCGCGAAGAAGAAATTAAAATAAACTGCCGAGTTATCAATTATAACTGAGTTTTAACTAAAATTTCTAGTCAGTTTTCTTCCTCTTGTGGGAGATCTTCTTCTCTCTCCTTCAGCAGCAACTCCTCTTCCTCACTGTGTTCCTCATCATCATTCTGTTGTTCTTCTTCTTCCTCAGCCATTAGATTATTTAGGTCTTCTTCTGTTTTGTCATTAGTCCTCTTATTCTCTTTCATTGCTGATCCTAACTTTCCCTTGTATAATTGAGTTCCTTGTCTCTCCTCTCCTTTTCTTATGTCTCTAGTCGCTTTCTTCCAGAAATCTTGCTTTCTGAAGTGTATTTAGTTTATGCCATTTCTGTTTGTAAAGAACGGAAATTCCTTCTAGTTTCTCCCATCTGTAGAGTATGCTATTTTTGGATAAAAAGGTAATAAGAAATCTATAACTTTCTCTTTTTCACAATATTCTACTAGGGATATCTTTATATATCTTGGCCTCCTTTCCGTCAATTTTCAGGATTTTCCTGTAGCTTAGTTCTAATATTTTATCTCTAGTTTTTTTTCCTCAAGAAATAAATCACTACATCTCAAGGCCAATTTTTTTCTCTGGCTATTCTTGAATTTATTCAGAATATTTTATTTATTTCCCATTGTAGTTCTTGAGCTGTGATTTCCATAAATTCCACTAATTTAGGAATCAAATATTAATATAAGTTTTCTTTTTCTATCTCTCTTATGCCACAAATTTTTACACAGTTTTCTCTAACTTTAAGATCTTCCATTGCTTTCTTATCTAGTTTTCTTTCTCTTTCCAGTTCCCCCTCTTTTTTAAAATTTGTCAGATTTTCCTCCAAGTCTGTTGTCCTTTCCTCCAATTTTGTTATTTTTTTTATTAGCACTACTCAGGTCTTTCATTACCTCTTCTAGGGAGTTTTTAATGTCTCTCAGTTCCGCCTTTATATCTTGTTTAATGTCCACTCTCAAAGTTTTTATTTCCCTCTTCATGTTATTTTCCAAATCCAATTTCATTTTTTCATTCATTTTCCTTATTTCCTCCAAAATAGATGGCATCTCGAAGGACTGTCTTCTCTGCATTAGTACAGATGTTTGTAGAGTGGAAGGGTTTTTTTTAATCAAAGTTGCCATCGGTCTCTTGTATCTTTATAGCTCAAAATTGTTTATCAATTAATTCACAATGAAATTAACAATCGATCATCAATACAGTCAATATATCAAAATATTTCAAAAATGCTTTTCACCTGACGTAAGAGTCCTAGGTTGTGCTAGAACTATGCAAAAGAGAGCTTAATACAGAACATAGAAGATAAGATGCCACACTGTTAAGGTTTCCAAACTTCTTTCCAGACAATGGTAAAAAAAAAATCAATTATCCTCTTCAAATGAGCCCTGTTAATGAAGCTCACACAAAGCTCTCTGTATTCTCCCTAAACTTCCATTTTTATGTTGATTGGCCACATTAAAATATAACCTTCTATGTCCTCAGTCTTATTTTTTTCCCTTTTCTTAAGTATTTCTCTAATTAGATCCAAGTCTTTCCAGAAGCTCTTATTATCTCAAAAGATGGATTTAAAGCAAATAGTGGTTTCTTACTATGCATTTCTCAATTTGTCCCAAGGGAGATAACTGCTGATAATTATCATACAGGAAAGTCAGCAAATTGCATCCAGCTGTACTTACATACAATAAAAAAGTCTCTTTTCTCTGTATTCGTTAAATTCAAAAGAAAAAGCCAAAAGACAGATGATATTGTAGTCTATTGAAAGTTGGGGGGGGCATAGAATCTCCTCTCTTTCTCTCTGTATATTTTCTCTTTTTCTCTTTCCCCTTTCTTTCCTCTCTCCTTTTCTCTAGTTGTTCTTCTTCCCTCCACCCCCAATTAGACAGGAACAATTATTTTGTAGGTAAGGAGAATAATTTCCTAATCCTTTTACTTGCCAGCCTGTCTTAATATCCTATCACTCATTCTATTCCCCAACAAAGTTTGAGTCTGCCTATGCTTTAGAACTAATGAAGGGAAAAGGATTTTGCCCAATTGATCTTGCACTAGCCAAAGGCACCTCCTGCCTTTTAACATACAAATTAAAGGCATGGAGAATCTTATTAAACAAAGTTATGGCTTGTATCTCAATATATGTCCCCCACTGATTCCAAGTTGAAGAGGTGGTAGGAAGTGGGAGAACTACCACATATACTAAACTTTAAGTTGACCTCATGTATAAGTCATAGAATCATAGAATCATAGAGTTGGAAGAGACCACAAGGACCATCCAGTCCAATCCCCTGCCAAGCAGGGATTCAAAATCAGGGGTAGGCAACCTTTCCCCTTTAAGGTCCAAGGGACTTCAGCTCCCAGAATCCCAGGAGCTATTGGCCAACATGGGACTATTGGCCAACATGGCTGAGGCTTCTGGGAGCTGAAGTCCCTCGGCCCTTAAAAGGGAAAGGTTGCCTACCCCTGCTCAAAATCAAAGCATCCCTGACAGATGGCAAAATCCCTGACAGGTTTGGGGGGGCAAAATTAGGGATTTTGATATAACCCAAGGATAAGTCAAGGGTAGAATTTAGGGTCTCAGCACCCTTCCTCCCCCTCTGCAGAGACAGCCAGGCTGGGGAGAGGCTCCAGGAGCAAGCGTTTACTCTCCATCCTCCTCTCCACCCTGGTTGTTTCCCGACGGGCAGCCAAACTGGGGACAAAACTTGGGGGGGATTGCTTGCTATCCCTTCTCCTCCCACCCTGGCTGTCTCCTGAGGGGCATCCAAGCTGGGAAAGTTACCGTATTAACCCATGTTCTGGGAGTCAATATTTTTGTAAATCTTTTCTTACACAGTGGTACCTCTACTTACGAAATGCGCCTCCAGAAAAAATTTGCTTCTACTTACGAAAGT